AGCAGGACTCGAGTCAAAAACACATAGGGGCTTTATTTTGTTTATGTATTTATTTATTAAATTTATATGCCACCCATCTCCGTAACAGCAACTCTGGGTGGCTTGCAGCATACAGCTCTCCTTTTTGCTGTTGCTGTCTTCCACCTATTTTGTTCTTGCCATCCTTTTCTCTTTCTTTTTGTTTCTTCTCTAACCCTGGGCCGTGGAGAGAGAGCATTTGTCCTTTTTCATTTTTGTGCCTCGACTCCTGGTGTACTCCAGGCCAACACCAGTATTTTTAGTAGTTCTTGTTCTTCCTAGGATTGAGAGAGAGAATGATTTGTCCAAAGTCACTCAGATGGCTTTGTGCTTAAGATTAGATTAGTTTACCAGTTTTTAATCCAATTCTTTTGACCACTATATCAAACAAGCTTTCACTGATACAGGCCCAGATCTGAAATAATCACTGGAGAGGCTCCTCCTTCACACCAGAGCCCTGGTGGCACAGTGGTTAGAATGCAGTATTGCAGGCTAACTCACTGCTCACTGTCAAGAGTTTGATTCTGACCAGCTCAAGGTTGACTCATTCTTCCATTCTTCCGAGGTCGGTACAATGAGGACCCAGATTGTTGGGGGTAATATGCTGAATCTGTAAACCACTTAGAGAGGGCTGTAAAGCAATATAACATGGTATATAAGTCTAATTGTTATTGCTATTCTCTTCCTGCCCACTTTCTTTGGCTTTAGGCTTCCCACACCTGCCTAAAATTAGGCCAAGGGATATATGTTGCAGGATGTTGTTGAGGAATAAAGAGTCACTGTTTAATTCCTATGGAATTGGAAGGAAGAATAGAAATAAATTTTGAAGGGATCGAGCTTAAGAGGAGGGGTTGGCAAGCTGTTGGGGAAACTGTCTGATTGGCCTTTTGAACCCAGGTAAAACTTCCAAGACTTCTCTTGTTTCCCTAGATTCAGGCATCTTCAAGAAGCTTTGCAAAATCAGAGGGTTATCCTGGAAAACATAACCTGCAAAGTAGAAGAGAAAAAAAATGTAGTGCAAGTCTCAGCTAAACATATTGAAGACAGGTAACTGAGGAGATCCCTCTTTTAACAAGATGAATTCTGTAATGGCTTTTATCGTTGACAAGTTGATTTGTAATTCTAAGAGTTAATTCCTGAGACTAACTTAGAGAGTGATTTGGTGCTTCTGCCTCTGCAACTTTGTAAATTCTCTACCCATTCAAATTCATAGTGTCTTTCACTGTGGATTGACATCATACAATCATGCTGTTATTTAAAGCACTGTAGCTGTGGCGCACTAATTAATAATCCTCAGCTATCAGAGAATCCACATATCAAGTTTGAGCATTCCATATTTTTAAGGATTCCTCTTTGATCTGATTTCTTTACTGACATTTTTCAGATGTTTACAGAGGTGTAATTTTGGTATGGACTGTGACTTACTGGCAGTAAGTAACCTAGTATATATAGGCTAGGACACTCTCACTCTCAGTATAACCTATATGGTGGAATCATTTAGATGACCTGTTTATTTTATTTTGTTTTATTTATTTTTTGAAATACTTATTCTATGGGTAGAAAGTGCTGGAACATTAGGTTGGTTTTCTTTAAGATGTGAATATGAATACCAAAATACCCATAAAATAAAAAGTGAAACACTGCTGTGTGGCAAATAAATATTTAATGTTGTACATTTAATAGTGGTTCAAAAATCCTGGCAAATAATTTTTAAAAAGGTAGTACTTAATATTGGCAAAACTATTCTTTATTTTTGAGGAAAAAGTGTGTCATTTAAATTGTTATCTGTGTACAAATGCTAAAAAGTAAATATTAGGTTGATCAATGCACCCTGCAACTTGAAAGTTTCAGGCCATAAATCCATATACGGTACAAACTCATTCTGCACAGGTTTTTACCATTGATAACCCAGATAAGCGTATTTTTAACCTCCATAAATATGATTTCTTCCAAACATTTTGAAACATGATTATAGTTATTGAAATCGTTAATCTCTCTCTACAGATTGTTTGAAGCAAAACACTTGCAACGAAAAGTGGAAAATCAGATCAAAATGGCCAAAATGGTCCTGATCAGTGAAATAAATAAGCGGACAAATGTTCTCCTTGAACAATTGGAGGTAAGTAGGATGAGTTCTTGAAGCAAAGAAGATATGGAAACAGAGGATGCCAATTAACTGCAGCACTGATTGGTTGATAAATTGACTAGTTAGAATAGTCTGTGAGAATGACCTTGGGAGATGGAGGGGGAAAGAAAGGCTGCCTAGGGAATGTTAAGAAAAGACACAGGCAACTGATGCATAATGGGCAAAGAAAGAAACTCAGAAGAAAACCCCTATGACGTCTTGGACTGTAAAAAAGACTGCAGGAAATTTGAACTATCAGACTTGCAAGATTCTGTTAATGTTGCCTTACAGTAGAGTTATGTTTCTGGTTATGTTTCCTGTCCAATCTACCTGGGAAGGCTGAGGGAACATAAAACTTGGAAGGATACTTTTATTCTGTAAGTAAGTCTGGCAATACTCTGGGCTACTACTGAGTTTGGAAGAGAGATCCAGCTGAATACTTATTAGATGTATACCATCTATTGGATTCATAATGTGATCCTAGATCTACAGGAAATTAGTATGCAGACAGTTTCTATTCTAAGGAAAAGGGAATGAATGAAAACTAACTTCTACCGCTCTTTATTGGTTAAAGCATTAGTGTTTAACCATAACCTGACTTGATTTTCAAATATTTTTTTAAATTAGAAATAAATTAGCCAGTGTGCTAAAACCAAAACTTCTGCCTGTATTGACAACTATATTTACAAGAAATGTTCCAGGTCCCATCCAATTCTTACAGAGTATCTTTAAAAATAGAAATGGAGATTGACTGTTCTATTGGATACTTGCTCATCTATACAGAAAAAGAGACAAAACTAAGCTACAGTCATCAAATTGTTGAGGATCTATGTGATGGTAGAGATGAAACAAAACAGTTCATTTTTCTGAGAAATGAATACTTTGGGAGTAGCCGTGCTTTCTGGGCCACGCCTAAATTTTATGTGAACACATCACTCTTCCATGGCAGCCATTTTCTGAGAGTGCCGAGCGTAGACTTGAACCATTTTATTTGGGTCTATTGACTTAGCAAAGGTTCTTTGCTCCTAATCTAATTTGTGGATTTTTATAGATGTCATTTTTACAAAACCAACTATATTTTAAAATGACTGTTTGTTTGTTTCTTTATTTCTGATTGTTGACAGCGGATCTCCAGTGAAAGGAAGCAAAAAATGGAACAACAGCTTCAGGGCATCATGGTGTTAAACAGACAGTTTGAACACGTGCAAAACTTTCTTAGCTGGGCAGTATGCAGTAAAAGCACTGTTCCATTCCTCTTCAGCAAAGAACTGGTAAGAGTAAATGCTCAACCCAGGATACTTTACATGAGCTTCTTGTCTAAAGTATTGTTTGACCTTTTAAATGAACAAACAGTTTGCTATAAAAATTACTCAGATTGATCATTCTGAACTGATCAGTGAAAAAGTGTGAAGAAAAAGAAATACCATAAGCAGACAATGAGAAGAAGGTAGTGCTGATAGGTCAAAAGTGCCTTCTTTCCATGAATAAAACATTTAAAAGGTTTCTTTTAAGCAAATAAAAATAGTCATCCCAACAGAAGTAAATGGTGTATTAAGCCTCTAAGAAAAAGTATAATAAACATTATTCTGGAATGGCTTTTCAGGCCAGCCATGTTGATTGTATCCTCATTTGATTACTATAGTGGCCAAGCTTTATGGCCTCCAAAATATTTAATGCTGATAAAATGGAGTCTAAATGCAAGATAATTTATTTTATGGTGAAATAAAATTTTCTTTTTTTCTTTTCAGTTCATAATAGCTTAGGAATCTCCACTTTAATATATAAGCAAGCCCATAGTGAATGGAAACATAATGGAAATGTAGGACCAGGTGCCCATTTCAAGTCTTAAGCTATAAGTAACCAAATATAAAACTTATATGTTTATTGCATCAAACTATAATTCTCTGGTTTGTTACTAGATTGTTTTTCAGATTCAGCGTTTGCTAGAAACCAACTGTAATGCAGATGTGTGTTCTCCTTGGAAGATCAGATTTACATGGGACCCATCTTTTTGGACTAAACAACTATCCAATTTAGGTAAAAAGAAGTATATTACCGTTTCTCCGAAAATAAGACCAGATCTTTTTTTTTTTCCTTCAAAAGAGATACCAGGTCTTATTTTGGGGGGGTGTCTTTTCCACTCACCTTGCAGCGGTGGCACCGACAGCCACGCCCAGCTGGCCCACTTCTTCTGCGGCCGAAGGAGCACTTTCATTCTGCAGCTGAGAATGGAGCTCCGGCCTGCATTTTGCAGTCAGAGGCCTTTCCGGAAGGCCTCTGCAGCCAAGAACGAAGCTACGGATTGAATCCATAGCTCAGTTCTCAGCTGCAGAGGCTTTTTGGAAAGGCCTCTGACTATGAAATGAAGGCCGTGGGATGCTGCAGAAGAAGTGGGCTGGTGAGGAGAAACAAGTGTCAATTCATGGGAGACCTGATAAGTGGGTGCGGGGCTTGTGAGGCAGCTCCTCTCCCCCAACTCTGCCCTAGCTTGATTTTTAGGTATGCGCCTTGCCTCAAAACTAGGGCTTATTTTTGGGGTAGGGCTTATATTAGGCCCACCCCCAAAAATCAAGCCAGGACTCATTTTCGGGATAGGTCTTACTTTCGGGCAAACACGGTATATAATTGTACATTTTTTTGGAAAACGAAAGTGTGTGTGTGTGTGTGTGTGTGTGTGAGAGAGAGAGAGAGAGAGAGAGAGCTGTTCTTTATGTTATGTGAGTGATGTTTTCCTTTCTCTAATGTGTTTGTGGCCTGGGAAATGAGGAAACCAGCTTAGAATTGTTTCTTACAGTTTCAAAAAAATCTTGGATGTGACAGAACAGAGCACAATCAGAATCTAGGAGAGCCCATTGTAAGAAGTTGCAAGCTGGGCATTTCCCAGTAAAAGATCTTTGTTCCAGCAGTTCTCTGTGGTCAATGGAAAGTTTTGGATGACTGACAGAGCCAAGGGATTCTTTAGCCTTTTCCTTCTTGTTGCTATATTGAAAATAAAACATTGATGATATTTTGTTGATGCACGGATTTTTTAAGTGCCATCCAAGAGTTTTTGGTATGGCATCTTATTTTGATTATTATTAAGGACTTCCATGGATTAATATTCTATTGATTACTATTTTGTAGTGTTCTCCTTCAATGTACGTTAGTGGTTTTTTTGGTAGACAACAACGAGTGACTGCAATTAGAAAAGGGCACACTCTACACATACATTATCCTTTTTTGATTCCTGATGCTTAGCATTTTTGGTTGAATATCAACAGTTTTAGTCATATATTAGTCTCACACTTACCTATTGAAAAATGTGTACCGATACATTAGATCAAACCATTATTTTCACTTAATATTATGTTTTTAGAGTAGAACTGTCTTTTAGAATTTAGTTTATCAGTGCTGCTTTCCTGGTGCTCTTATATTTATTGCATAAGACAGAATTTCCAGGATGGAAAGCTTTTAGATGGTTATCTTCTCTACACCTTTTACTGAACATGAAATTATCCTATTCTGGATAAAGAGTCTTAAAATGGGGACTATTGATGATGTCCTCCATTATTTCTGGTTTGTTCTTTTTAGGCCACTTGTCAATGGAAGGGGGGCCAAGCCACCATTCAGATGTACCAACCTATGCAAGTATACAAGGAATACAGCCGTCTCTGTATCACCATCATGGCCATCATTCTCCAGTGCCACAACATGACCCACTCAGTAACCAGCCCCACCAATTTCAGCCTCCTGTCCATTGCCTGGCACCCATGTGCTGTGCCCATTGCCTTAATATCCCACATATGAACAAAGGGCAGCACTCTCATCAAACTGTGAGCCACCCCCAGCCTTTCCGCCAGCCTTCTGAAATGCAGCACCACCCGCAGCATTTCTCTCTGCAGTACAGTTTGCAGCAACACGAGAGGGAGCAGAGGTGTGCCCCACGCGTGCTGAAAACCATGCAGCCATGTGCTGAGCAGAAATCTCATCAAGAGCCCGATAGCCTAACTACCAGGTTGGCCAAGAGCTCCCAAGAGCAGCCAATGCACCATGCCCTTCCACCTGTTTATCCCCTTTCATCACAGGATGGCCACCAAAGCCAAGGTAGTCACTCCCAGCAACTCCCTGCACAGTCTTCTCTGCACAGTCCAACGGTGCAGGTTCAAGTTGGTCCCCTCCAGAAGTTAAAGCTGAATAACTTGCAGCAACAGCAACAGCAGCCATCACAGCCGCAGCCACCCCAACAAGAACATCCATTGCCACCCCCACCCCCACTCTCACCGCAGCCGTCGCCTGCAGCAGGCCCAAATGAGAAGGCTCACGAACAAGTGATACAACAGAGCTTGGACATCATGCACCACCAATTTGAACTGGAGGAAATGAAGAAAGATTTGGAGCTTCTCCTTCAGGCTCAGCAACCAAGCCTGCAGCTCAATCAGGCCAAGCAGCCTCAGCATGTTCAGCAAACCATTGTTGGCCAGATAAATTACATTGTCAGGCAGCCAGCCACGGTTCAGCAGCAAAACCAAGAAGAAGTACAGCAAGTGAGCTGATTAAATTTATTTTCTTTTGATTTTTACATTCGGTGGCATCTTTGTTAATTTCATGAATATTCAGTCTTAAGCAAGGCTGGTGAAGGATTGAGTAAAAGACAATTAGCCCAGATTAAGAAATAATTGCTACTTTAACCTTGTTTATTTGTAAAATTTATTGGCCGCCCATCTTACCACAGGCTATTTCTTAGCCTTATTTTAAATAAATCCAAGTAAATATGTTTATCAGGTAACTGATATTTAAGCTAGGCTTGAAATATTAAGCTTTCCCCTTGAAATCTATGTGAAAATTAGAGTTACAGGATATCCTTCCTTCAAAGATTTCGGGCTACAGAACAGTTTCTTAGGTATTGTGTTTGGCTTCCATTCTCTCATTTTTTAAGGGAAATCTGTAAAGATGTTTCTCTTTCTCCAGGTGAAGAATTGTTAGATAACTGTAACGTTTATTTAAGCTGTTTGTTTTTTTTAAAAAAACTTTTTAATATTTGTTTTTGCTTTTAAATGTTTTGGGCCTCCCCAGAAGAGAGCATGCTTACCAGATCAGATGGGGTGCAAATCAAGTATAACATCAAGGAAAAGATGGTGGATTAATATTATTATGTTTTAACTGTCCTGTTTTTGCTTTGATGTGATTGTAGGATGCCTAGATTCACCAGTCTCTTAGACCAGTACAAGCCCTAAAGGAGAATACTTAACAAATCAAAAGTTAGTGCATGATGGGGTAGAACATGGTGTCTGACAGGTCCAAAAAAGAATGAGGTTGTACATGTCACTCTATAGCATTAAAGTTATACCAAACATTGTTTAAATAGAATCCATTGAGAAGTTCCCTGTCTATATTTAGGAGTGATTTTTCTCTCTATATTTCCATGCTGTAAGGTGGCCAAGCAGTTAACACGCTGGGCTTGTCAATTGGAAGTTGGCAGTTTGAGGCCTGTACCATGTGATGGAGTGAGTTCCCATTCCTGCCCCAACTCCTGCCCATCTAACAGTTCAAAAGCATGCAAATGCACATAGATAAATAGCTACCACTTCTAGGTAACAGCGTTCCACGCACCTTCTACATATAGTCATGACAGCCACATGACCACATATGTCTTCAGACAGTGCTGACTCTTTGGCTGTGAATCAGAGATGAGCACTGCCCCCTAGAGATGGACATGTCTGGTGGGTGAAATCTTTACCTTTAAAAAAAAAAGGGATAAAACCCATCTTCTCCAGAAGTTAGTCCTTTTCTGGGAGGAAATCTGGTATTTTTCCCCAGGGCAAAAAACAGTTTTGGGGAAAATTTATGATTACATTCACTGCCTGGGGAAATAATGTGAGAATGTTCTGTAAAATTTTCCTCTTTGTAATAGATATCATTATAAGTTTAAAATACCAGTGGAATGAAAATGCTGTCTGAGAAGTGAATAACAAGAACGAAATGTTATTTTAAGATAGCCCGATCTTTTTTATTTATAAAAGTTATTAATATATTTTCTTCTGAAAGGCAATCAATGTGATTTACCGTGTTTTAATTCAAATAATATTCTTTTTAAGTAATAATAAAGTTGAACAAACAAAAGTAACAAGAACAAAAATTCAAATTAAATGACTGAGAAAAATAGGGCCTGGGGACAATTTTTACCACTCAGCTGATTCCCAGCAACGGATGGTCTCCCAGGTTTCCGTAATCTCATAAATTTCTCTTATATGAGGTCAAAAGTGACCTCAGAAATTTTGAAAGAATTACGAAGTTCATTTGAGAAGTGATGTGTTCACTGAAATGTTGGGGTAAGGACATTTAAGAGCTAAAAATGGATACCAACATCTAAATTGGTGATATCTAGACAGCCAAATGCAGGCAGGTTAATGTAAAATATACCTATATATATGAAGCCGGAAAAGTATCCATTTTTGGGGATAATATAAATGATCTTATTTATATACTGTAAGTAATCTTGCTGCCATGTGCTTATTATTCCTTTATTTTGTTGGTCATTGACTGAATAAACTATTATATCTATGTATTATCTTTATGAAAGATTGGTGAAGATTCTGCTGAATCAGAAGGTCAAAAGCCAGCACTTCCTCTTGACAGAAATGCGATTCCATCTATGTCTCAGCCAGTAGATGAAGCCATTGTCAACATGCAATCTCCAGAGAGTATGTTGAGTCCAGTCAGAAAGGTAAACCTTCCTTCCTTCTTGTAAAGCAATGTGTTCTTTAAAATTCAATAAGGCTGCTTTAAAAATCCCCTCTTTCTCTACCTTTATAAAAATGGAAGGTGAATTTTTCACCTTTATGGAGGAATTCTGTGTAGAAACCTTACATGGTATCGTGCTATTTATATGACATTTGATCATTATGAATGAAGTAAAACATAGGAAAAAAAGGTATTTGTTAGATGAGCTTTCTGAACAAAATGATTTTGATATTTCTGTTGCAAAATAATTGAAGCCATTTTAAGGTTTAAGTATCAAAATGCCTTTAGTTTGTTTTAGATCTCCATTATGGCAAGATAAAACTCTTTGATTCGACAAAAAAATTGGTCAAATCACCCTATCAAAGCAGACTTGCAAGGGCAAGCAAGGACCCACTTTGGTGTAGTAAATTTAATAAATATGTAGTAGTTTGATTTGGTTTGCAAATTCAGTGGCTTTTCTTGAAAAAAATCAAAGTAATATTAGATAATACTGCATATAACAACCTTTTATCAATATAGCATTGTAAAACCACTATTAAAATCAGATCAACACTCAATAATTAGCAAAGGCAACCAATATACAGTAAGACTTACCAATCAAAACATTTTGTGGGAGCTTCTAACTTTTCTGGACAACTCTGTTCTTATCACAAATCAGGCAAGATCTAGTATTTTAAAGCCTTATGTTTACTTGTATTTTTTGTTAAAAAAGAACTTCAGTATTGCTTATTCATGTGGAAAATTATTTTTGTTTCTTTTGTGAATAAATAAAATTTATAACTAAAGGCTTCTAACTAATGTACAAAATTGTAGCAGTGATGTTGGCAAAACTGACATGTAATATAGAAACGTGCGATCAATTGGAGACTGTTGTAAAGGTAAGAAAGACAGAGAAGTAAAGAATGACAGTCCGGATGTCACAATGAGGCATGTGGTTTTTCCTAATTCCTACTTCCACAGGTTGTGGAATTATCATGTGGTTTAGCTCTTTCCAGATTCTTGATTTGTTATTATGTATTATTGTGAGGACAAGAACTTTAGTAGACTCCAAGGTCTACTGGGAGAATGCTCATAGGGCATGATAGTTTGTAGTGAGTACAAAAGGTGGCCTCAAAGAGAAGAAGGAAGATCTGTTAGCAAGACAACAACAATCAGATAAATGAAGGTTGAGCCCAGCCCAGTGGTGTATGAAAATGCCTCAGATAGCCTTGCCCCCTACCCCCCATTTTATATGAAGAGAAAAGAGAGAGGAATAGAAGGATTTAGTAGATTATTAAAGTTTCTGAGGCTGAAGAGGTAGATGATCTAAGTCTTCTTTGCATAATCTCAAGTGATGTTTCCCTGCCCTGTTGCAGAGAAGAGTGATATATTTGTTATCTTCAGTGACAATAACAAATGATACATTTATGTTGATATCAATATAGATAGGCTGGAGGGAGGTTAATGGCGTAGACACATAGGAAGAATTGTACTTACTAGTTGGTTTGTTTTGGTAAAATATCTTTTGTTTTTTAACATGCACAGAAGGAATCTTTCCTGATATTACATGTATAGCGAAACAGAGAAATAAATCATTACGGACTGTACCAATGATTACTATATATGTCGTTGTTGTTTCAGTTCCAGACATGCATGATGGAACCTCTTTTTGTAATATAAGTAATATAACATACTGAAAGCTGCTTACTTAAGTTGACAGACAGTTCTTCTTGGAATTGCAGCTAGAGCTCTTCATGTGTCAGTCTTGATGCTAACTCTTCCCAGGTTCTTGGTCCTCTTCTGTTCTGTTGTCTTTTACATGGTGTACTACATGGCCAGTATGAAATGCTTATAGATAATAAAGAAGGGATGCTTTATAAACACAATTTAATTTTGAATTTGTTGGAGCCACACAATTATCATTTTCAAAGCAACAAGCAAAGCAAAAAGGTATATTTGTATATAATTCTTATAAAAAAAAACACTGAGGCATTTTGCATATATTTGACTAATTAGATACTGTTCATGAGTATTAGAAAACAACTGATAGATAAAATGGAGAAGGGCTATGATTGCCTCTTATTGCTCAATGTCCTTCATTAATTAGGATCTGAAGAACTTTACAACTGTCTTAACCGATAGATTGGACAACAGCACTCAATACATCCATTCTGATCAAGTGGAATTCCTCCCCTGATGATATCTGATGGACAAAGTGTTCTACATTTTTGATATAATGCACAAGAGAGAAAAACCCATCCTTTGAGTCCCATGATAAGAAAGCTGTTGTGCTGAATTCCATCAAGTATTTTCTTTGTCAGTTGCTTTCTGAGTTTAACTCTACCATGGCTTTTCAGGCTAATTATTTACATTGTTCTGAGTTGATATAAAGAATTGACTTTTATGCCTTTCATCTCCAAAGAGGTGTTAGACAAAGCTATTTGTCTAACTATAACTTCTATACTGTTCAATGAAAGTTATGTGAATGAAGGATATGTCCATGAAGTCACCAGAATATGAATATGATTTGAAGAAGACTTTTTATTGGTGAACATACTGAACAAATATGAAACAATATGGCCCTTTTCTCTGATTGGACCCTTCAACATCTCCCTATCAGGATTGACTTGATAGATTTTCTAAAACATCTGAATATAAAGCCAACTATTACCGGAATTCAGTTGCTCCTAAAACAATTCATTAGTTTGTTCACACATCACACTGATGTCACCTCAGGTCTTTCTGGTACAATCAACAACACTTTTTAATCAACTGCATGGTAGAAACAAGTTAATCCATGGACTTTTCTAATATTTCATCAGTTTTCCTAAGTCAACCCAACACTCTTAAGGATAACTATGACTAAATCAGTCTGATACAACAGAGTTATGATTTATTATATTTTGCACCAACTCACTACAATTATTAACTGAATAACTGTATCTCTCTCAAAGCTTCAGCGGATCGGGCACTCCAATGCCAGTCACTTTACTCTAGATGCCTTGATTTGGAAGTTATTTGTTTAGGAAATATCATAGGGATAGACTTAAGTAAATACTCAACATGTTTTCATTAAAGATACTCTATCTATTTGGGACTACTGGAAATATAGTCTGCTTTCTGGCCTGAAGCTATATAGAATTTGTCTTCTCCCCCAACTGGAAGGCAGCAAAGGCACATCAACTTGATAAGAAAATTCTGTCTTCTTCAAGGACCTATTGCAAAAAGCTGAAGTAATATAGTTTCAACATTGGCATTTTCAAATGTACCATTTTCTCAAATCAATCAAATAACATGTGGGAACTTTACTGACAACATTTTAAGCCTGTAGTTTAATAATGTAATGCTATTCTGCAAACAATTTTTGTTTTTTGTCTCTCAGTTTTTAGGAAGAAACTTTCATAGAAGGACATTGGAAAATGGAGGGGGTGGTGTAGATTATCAAATTGGCAAAATATCTGAAACTCAATAACTACTAACATTAATTTCAAGAAAATACTATTTAAAATGCTTTCAAGTTACATCATTTAATTCAACTAAATGAGCTAGGACTTTATCCAATTGTAATGGGAGAATTTTTCTTCTGACTAGCTACCCATTTTTTGTGTGCTAAATATGACTTTAAAGAAGGCAGTCTATGTTTCCTACACAAAGTCTTGATAAAAAAAACAAAACAAGATAACCAAAGTGCCCAGGAAAGATTTAAAGAGTATTTCTGTGTTTTGCCAATCCATCATGCATTCAAAGGGGTGCAGCTAGCAGATGCCACTTTATAATTACATATGAATCTTAAATCCAATAACTGATATATTTATATAATCACCTTCTGCAGATAGAAGATACATTCCAAAAATAGTGCAGTTGCAAATTTAGTGTTTAGTGTTTTTTAAATACTTTACATGACAGACTGCAATGGTATATATTCTGAGCTATTGCAAACAATTGATTGAAAATGTAATTTGGCAAATGCAAGATAGCACGACAGCAACTCTTAAGAACACGGGGATATTCCATCCCAGCCCAATAGATGGGGCTATAGTCATGCTGCCATTTGTTTTCTTTCTGAAATGTTGGTTACACATACAATCTTGTACAGTTGATTTTGTATAAGGAAGAGGTTAAACCTTGATAGATTGAAAAAGCAATTGTGTCATGAATACAAGAGGGATGCAGCGGTGGGATTCAAATATGTGAACAACCGGTTCTCTGTGTGGATGCCGCTTCCGGAAGTCCATTCTGGGCCTGGGCAACAAAAAATTAGCTACCGGTTCTTCCGAAGTGGTGCGAACTGGCTGAATCCCACCACTGGAGGGATGATGTGGAATTTCACGTGATAGTTGCCAGTGATACTGTATATTGCATTCTCAGTGTCAGTGCTTCTGGGAGAAACATCACTAAGTATACAATATTCTTTGACTGTTCAACTAACACTGTAGTTTTATAACAAGAACTCTATTATATTTGGAAATATGTGGATGATATATAGAAATGTAGTCATGTGCAACTCATCGAGATATATGTAAGTATATCAATCACATGGATTTGATGGTAGAAAATTACACGGTCCATACAGATGGTGATAATTATGTGTACTTTGTTGCAATTGCCATGATGACATAAGCGTCATACATGTGAATTGTGACCTGTTAAGAACCCAAAGAATCAAATGAGCCCAATAGCAGTACTAGTCAACATTCATTTTAATTCTCCTCAAGCTTACCACACATACAAACACTGATAATTTAGGTACTGCATACTGGGACAATAATAATATTTGCTTCACTTCACTCTTATAAAAATACTATCTGAAATAACTACTGTAGCAGCAAAAAGATGACCAGCATTTGTGCAGTGCAGTGTCATATGAAGACCATCTGTACATGTTTATGACTGAGAAATCTTTAAACTGAAAATTGAGCACCATCTCAGAACGATTTAACAGCAAGATTTATCTGGGATTTAGGAAAAACAAATATTTAGACAGTGAACAGGAATTATCAGAGT